TTTGAATACGCGGCCGGAGGAACGTGTTGCGCCGCCGTGACAGTGACTTTGTTCCACGACGACGACCACGCCGACTACGACGACGTGTCAACGGTTGCTGGTGTGTTTCACCGCTTTACGCGCGATCATCCACGAAGTCCACGCGCGCGATACTCTACACGCAAAAGTGTAGTGGTGGGTGGATGCTGGTAGCAGTGGTGGTGGCGGTGGTGGTGGTGGTGGTGGTGCTGCTGCTTCTGGTGGTGGTGGTTGGTTGGTCGGTCGGTCGGGTCGGTGGTGGTGGTTGTGTCTCGGTGGAACGTAGCGGCGAGAGAGGCTTCGCATTCCGGAGTGAAGCGCGCGGCAATTTGCGTCACGGTGGCTGCTTGCATCCCGTACAGAGAAACACGTGGCTAGGTGGGTCGTGCGTGCACAGAGACCGGTTCGAAATTCCCGCCGCGAAATCGCCGCCTGCTGCTGCTTCACGGCCGCGTTCACCCGGTGTTTTCGTATTTCGCGGGAACGCTGCCGCAACGCTCTCGAGGGGAGCAGAGAGAAAGATGACGGATTAAAACGTTCCGTCGGTTCGTTCTTCTTCTCTTTCTCTCTGTATCCCTCCTTCTCCCCCCCCCCCTTTCTATATTTCTTTCTTTCTTCGTTTCTCTCTCAGCTGTTCTTTATTTCGTTTCGAGACGCGCGTACAGTGTGCGACGAGGAGCCGCTGCTCTTGGGCGTGTATCGCCGAGCAGACTTCTCCCCTCGTGTCTCGCTGTTGCCTCCAGGCCTATCCTCTTCTCTCCTCTCGTCCTCGCGCAGATCGAACGCGAGTGTGTGCCGCGACGCGCGTAGTACGAGCGTGACACCGAGAAGAAAAAGAGAAAAGAGTGGCTGGTTTTTAGGCAACGCAGCTATCGTCGCCGTTTCTGTCTTTTCCACACACACACACTCTCTCTCTCTCTCTCGAGATAACGGCCGCGAGTCCTCGCGAATCGTGTCGTAATTAGTCGTCTACCTAATCTACCTAAACAGAGCGTCGCGTGTGTCGTCGTTTTTCTCCAACTTCTCTTTTTGCAAAGCAGCCAGCCTGCTGCTGTCTGCTGTGCCTGCCTGCCTGCGAGGAAGGGAGTATGTGAAAAAAGCGCTCGAAGGATGCGCTTGTGAATCGCGCGAGCAAAAGAGGGGCAGGAGAACGCACGTGAGCGACGTGTCTGACACGACAGGTGCCGCAAGGTAAACCTCGTTACCTTTCCTCCAGCGCGCGAGACACGCGTACTCTACCACCTTCCGGTGCTTCCTCCTTTCCTCCCGGCCACCCGTCCTCCCTCCCTCCCACCATCCCTCAGTTAAGCCAGAAGAAAATTCGATATTCTCTCCCCTTAGAGGCGGTGGCAAAAATTCGAGACGCGTTCTTTTCTCGCGAAACTTCTCCACCAAATCTCCTCGTCTCTCGTCCTCGTGCTCTCTTTTTTCCTCCTGCTTCTTCTTCTCGTCCCCCTCTCCGTACATCCTTCTATCCGTTCGTGTGTGTACCCGTATGTGTGTCTCTCCGCGTGTCTTTCTCCGTCAGACGATACCTCCTTCTCTCTCCTGTCGGTCGTTCTCGCTCGTCGTACCGGCGATCGCCGGCTTTTCGTACGTTTTCGTGCGGCCTCGCTGCCGCGCCGCGACGTACGCCCGCGTCGACGAAAGCACACAGCTGCACAGTCGTGACGTGACGTTTCGGGGGTTAGTTCGCACGGTATGTGACGGAGAAAGAGGCCACCGGTGGACTGTGCTGTTCCAACGTGCTCTCCTCCCGAGGAATCGTCGCGTTTCCGGTTTTCGAACGGCAACTCTCTCTCTCTCTCTCTCTCTCTCTCTGTTTCTCTCTATTCCTTTACGCTCTCGTCTCGTGTGGACTGTACTCGTTTGCTGGCCTGGCGGAGAGGCGCGCGACATGTGATCCTTGGCGACGATTCCCTCGATCAACGCTGACGAATCGCGAGTCTGTGCCCACGGAAAGCGGGAAACGGCGGACAACACACTTATCTGCCTCTCCCTCGACCATTTTTTTTCACTCCTCTCATCATCGTCGTCGTCCGGTGTTAGCAGCGTCGATCCACGCGCGAAACCGCACGCGGCGTTCGCTCTTTTTTCCCTTCCTCCTTTCATTCTTTTTTTTTACTTACATACTCACTTACTTACGTCCTTCCTTCCTTTCTTTCTCCTTCCATTCCCTTCCGGCATTCTTACCTTCGGGCGAAATTGCGCCTTCCTCGATCATTCGACGCGCGACCGTCTGGCCAACGTGACCGGGTTTCCCTCGCGCGTCCTCGCCGAATGATTAGAAAATTTGATCGATCGATCGTCTGCCGCGCGTGGTAGTCGGTGACGATTTTTCCCCGTTGCACTCGAGACGAAACGGAGGGGAAGCAGTTGAACGAAGCGCCGCGGAACGCACGGGAGGACCTCGTTGCACCAAGTCCCGTCGAGAATGAGTTTCCGCCACGACGAAGCAGCACTACTGGCCGAGTGTAGGGGACTTTTTCGCGAACTTGTGAAGTGCGCACTTTTTTGCGAGGTGGCGTTGTGCAGATAAAACGCAGACCGTTTCAATTCGGTTCATTGTTTCGGTCATTAGCTTACGCGGCATGACGAGTGATAGGTGTGCTTTCGCGATAACGCATCCACTTTCTTCGAACTGTGATCACTCTCTGGATAGTGTGGTGAATGTGCCTTAGAGATACGAAAATCGTAACAGCCGTTTAGCCGCGATCGCTGAGAAAAAGGTATCGTATAACGAGACCGATCATCTTCCAACTGTCCGCGCTCCTACACCATCTTTTCTCGTCTCGCCTTCCCTTCCGATGGATACGCGCGTCTCTCTCTCCTCTGTGCTGTCAATTTTACAAAATATGCGAGTGCTGCGCGCGGACGTGTCGTCGCGAATAATTCGCATGTGCGTTTTACGCGCGGCGGTTTCGATTCGAACGAAAAATCACGCGTTGCACTTTTTCTGTTTTTTTTTCTTTTTTTTGCGGTTTTCATTCTTTTCTCCACCGGCACGCGTCAGACACACGCAAATACCAACGCGAGAAAATATATATTTAGCGTGGAGGTAAATAAGTTCCCCTTTCTCCTCGTTGTCCTCCTCTCGGGATTCAACGTCAATTCCAGCGGGTTCTATTATCAAAAGCGTTGCTCAGGATTTTTCACGAGACTCTGCACGAACACTTATCTCGAATTCGTCACACATAAATTTAGCAGTGCGCGATAGCGAACTTAAAAAGTCTGAAAACAGTTTCCGAATCACACCGCCGCGCCACGGCTTATGATAAACGGTGGTGTATCTACGAGCCGAAAGAGAAAAGAGAGAGAGAAAAAAAAAGCACGAAGAGAATTTTGATTCTTTCTTTTTCACTCGTTCTTTCTCCCTTTCGTCCGTACTTTTAGCCGGCGATAATCGGGTGTTTTGGAGCGTATCCAAAATATTGCTGCGCACATATTATTTACCGTTTTCTATCTGGCCGTCTCCTTTTCTCCCGACCGTGCGTGTACTTTAATTACTGTTTCTTCGAAGCGACCGGGTGTCGAGCAGCGGTAAAAATACCTTCCGAATCAGCGATACGATTATCAACGGAAACATTGTAAAATATTACACGATGCCCATGGTTGTTGCTGCCTGGATCGTGAATAACGTTAGCCGGTATAGAAATAAAAAAGAAAACACCACGATCCCCGATCGTTCATTCCATTCTGTATCGAGGGCTTTTGTCATGGCGTGTACCACTACTACCGCCACACATACGACGCGAGCCAACGAGCACTGTAAATTTGTTTTAAGATCGTTTCTTTTTTTTTTTATCATTTCGTTAAGATAACACTATCAGTATACATTTAATGCTTGCGCTTTTATAAGTGGCGGAGAGAATTATTTAATCGTATGTTCTGGCTTCACTCCAGCCTGGCGACCTAATTTTCTCGTATGGTGCAAATAAAAAAGAAAACGTAGTGTAAAATCCTTCGCTTCTATCTTCTACGCCACATGCACTCTTTAATTCTTCTCCTCTTCTGCTACTACTCGTTCGGAGGAGACGCGTGATTTTTTTTAATTCGCCTGTCGTCGATCATGATATACACGTTATTCGTATTTACATGCGAGATTCAACTTTTCGAACGTGGACGCGCCGCGTCTCTCTCCTCTTTCTCCTTCTATCTGCGGCTGTACGTGTTCACCGATGCCACGTAAAAATACCGCAAACTCCGAAGTGTCGTTTTGCAACGCGCACGCACGCACGCACGCACACACGCCGCGGCAGCAACAGGAACGCGTTCTCTCTTACTCTCTCTCGTATTTTTATTCCATTGGAATTAATAACATATGTTCCGCGACACGACACCACTGGTCCACTCTCTTCGCTATCTCCCTATTAAACGAATCTACGTATTATAATTCGCGAGTTATGTAAGTTTACGTGGCTCACGAGAGTGTAAAGAAATTAACATCTGTTCTAATGCCACACCAACGGTAAACACGCTGGTTAAATACCACTCGATACCCTCCGACGTTATATAATCTTTGCCAAATTTCTGTTCTCGCTTTTTCTTCACACATCCACGAGAAGGAGGAGATGGAGATCGAACCACGATGCACGCTTTTGTTGCAGCAGAGAGTGTTGTGTTTTTCTTTTCTTTTTCTAGTGTATTTCGAAAGCACGGTTATCGAAATATTATCGGCTTTTCGAAGGCTTATCTCGCGGTTTTATCGTGCAACTAGAAACAAAATTTCAACCTGGCAGTTTCGTTAGCTGGCCAGGGCCCGGCGTGTGTTGGTTGCACACGCGTTCGGGACTGTCGCGTTCGCCTGATCGAGAGGAAAAAGGAAAAGAAAGAGAAGAAAAAAGAAAGAAACGTTCCTTAATTCGCACTCGAGGCGAGGCAGAATATTTTATTTAGCGATAAGATAAAAAGAAGTCTTGTACTTTCGCCGGTTGAAATAGCGCACAATTATTATTTCTGATTATAGGTGAATAGATATAACGATGGTAGATACGCAACACTTTTGTCTGCGATGGAACAATTACCAAAGCAGTATAACGTCGGCGTTTGAAAACTTGAGGGACGATGAGGATTTTGTGGACGTCACACTGGCCTGCGATGGCAAAAGCCTCAAAGCGCACCGCGTCGTACTCTCCGCTTGCAGTCCCTACTTTAGAGAATTGCTCAAGGTAAGACAGAGAGACCCTGGCCACTACGCCCTTTTTCTCCTCCCCTCGTTTCCATTCATTTTCGTCCACTGTTCGGGACTACCAACCCCTCCGCCCGTCCCGAAGTAACCGAATGATATATGTATGTACATCGAGTGTGCAACGTAAATGTTTAACTAATGCGAGAAAAATGTCTCTTCTTTCCCTCCTTGCCGTTCCTTTTGCAGAGCACACCGTGCAAACACCCGGTGATAGTACTTCAGGACGTGGCGTTCAGCGATTTGAACGCTTTGGTGGAGTTCATCTATCACGGGGAGGTGAACGTGCATCAGCGTTCCCTTAGCAGTTTTTTGAAGACCGCCGAAGTCCTCAGGGTATCGGGGCTTACGCAACAGGCAGACCAAACAGACAGGGACGAGGTAAGCACACCCCTTCTCCAATCATATCTCTCTCTCTCTGTTTCTCTCTGTCCCCTCTCCTAATACTATCGTTCGCCGAATTATACGTCGTATCGTAGGCCATCGACCATATGTAATATCGTGGTACACATATACCTCGTAAAGTGATTATGCTTTGCATGTTATCTCTGATAGAGACGTGACTTTTAACTAAAGCGCGTCTTATCTCGCTGCACAATGTGTATCCATCTTGATTCCAATTCATAATTGTCATAGGTCAAGCAAACAAAGATAAAACCGGGCTGTGCGCTACAAGTAGAAACCGTGTAGCAGCAATCGTGTATAATCGTGTTTGGAGAAAAATTCTTCTTGTTCCCATCGTCACCCCCTCCTCCTACTCCTGGGTCGTCGTTGGTCGATCGTGTTTCTACTCCGTCGTCGACTTATCTATCATTTTCTTTTTTCGTTCCGTTTCTCTAATTACAGCTATCCCATGTACGCGCGTTGGCTGCCGGCGGCAATCACCTTCCTTTCCACGAAAAATCGGAGGAGAGCTTTCCCAGGGGCGGCTCCCCG